TTCCTCTACTTCTCTTACTTGCTTCTCAAAATCCTTTTTGGGCTCTTCCATGGCCTGGGACCAATTCATATTTTTCTTGGAGGCTTTGGATGTAGGAGCTTTGGCTTCATTGTCTTCTTCTGTTTATATGTTTTGATCTTCTTTGTCACCAAAGTAAGATAATATAGTCTGACTCTTTTTGTGCTGCTTACTCATGATCCTGGCCAATTACTTGAGTTATAAACTCTTTGTTAAGGTTGGAGTCTGTTTCCAGTGTGGAGAATGTACTGTCTCAAGCTTCTGGGGTTTTGTGCAGCTGTTTTCAGAGATACTTCTAGGGACCTGTAAATTTTCAGTTCTTCCAAGGTGCTATGATGAAGGGTGAGGTGTTTACTCCTTTCTTGGCCTGTGCTCTGGTCTATGAGCACTCTTTTCTGTCTTGGAACTGTGAGGAGGGTATACTCTCCATAGCCACTACAAACTCCACCACGCCAGCGCTCCTCCTCGCACCAGGACCACCACCCAGAACTGTGACCCAGATACAAGCATGGGCAAAGCAAGAGAATACTGTACCAGCAGAGAGATCCCTGCAATCCCCCTCTGATCAGCCATTCGATTCCTCCTCAGTCTGTGGGCTGGAAACTCAGGAGGCAGCCACTGCCCTGGCCAAGCTCGGGGACTGGAGCTGAGACCACTGGCTTCTCTCTCTCACCACAGACACAGACTTTTCCCACTGACCTTCTAAGTTGTCTTTGGTGTTCATGGGTTGAGAAGTCTGGAAACTGCCACAGCTGCCTGCGATTCAGTCCTCTGAGGCCTGCTCCAGGCTCTCTGTGGCCTGCACTCCTCTCCCAGTGCTCCTCTCCCAGCCTGGCATGATATACCTTTCCAATCAACCATCCAGGCTGTCTTGGGCTGAAAATTTGTTTCACTCTGTCTTTTTGTGGGTTCTGCTGCTTTAGAATTTGTTTAGAGCCATTTTTTTATAGGTATTTGGAGGGATTTGGGGGAGAGCTCAAGCAAGTCACTGCTTTTACTCTGCCATCTTGGCCCCACCCATGGAGATACAATTTCAATGGCACAAACACAGTTGTTTGCCTGGGAGGCTTATGACAAAGGGTCTGAAGTGCATCTCCAAGCAGATCCAACAAAACTGGAGTTTCTGTATAAATCATTTAAAGTCAAGAAAGAAGATTTCAAAGACCAACAGAAAAAAAGCATCCTAGAGAAGCATGGAGGTCAAGAACACCTGGATGTTCCTCCTTCTGAGTTACTGTTAGCTCAAACAGAAGACTATGTGGAATATTCAAGACATGGAACAATCATAGAAGGACAAGAAGGAGCTCTTGCCTGCTTTAAGTATGAAGAGGATGTCAAGATCCATAATCAAGCACATAGGGAGGTCGACTCTCTGAGCAAACTGTGAGGCCCTTCCTTTCTCGGCACTCCCCGAGGAGGGCCCGGCTTTTGGGGTCACCGTTCTGAGCCTTTGGCCATGAACTGTTCTCTGCTGTTGGCCCAGGTTCTCTCGTGAGGCTCTTCTTTGCAGAAGCCAGCCATGATGTTACAGAACTGTATGAAAAATATTTGGACTCCACTGAAGCCCTACTATACCCAGGTTTACCAGGAGATCTGAAAAGGAATGGGTGTGATAGGGTACATTGTTTACAAAATCAGAAGTGCTGATAAAAAAAGCAAAGCTTTGAAAGGTTCAGATGCAACTGCTCCTGCTCATGGACGTCATTAACTGGATTTACCTTAGGATTATGCATAATGTGAAACATAAGGCTGGCTGTAAATTTGGGCATTTGACCATAGAAGAAAGAATGCAAGGATTTCCCATGTTAACTTTTAGGCTTTTGCTCATACAGTGAAATAAAGTCATATATACATGGAAATTATTGTGTTCCAATTCAAATATGTATACATTGCAAATTCAGCATTTGTTTTGTAATGTGTCTGGTGGATTAATTGTAATTACCTCTAAAATAAAATAATTAAAATTTTTGGAACTATCAAATTTTTGTAAGTTTAGAGGAGCTGAGGGATGTCAATAAATATCTTGACTTGCTTAAAAAATAATCATATGCATATCTAGGGATCCTATTTGCAAGAAGGTAGATGGGGGTACAAGTGCTGTCCTTTGTCACATTTTTCTACTGTACTGGAGAATCTGGGAAGGAAATGGAGATGAATCTATTCTTGATGATGCCATGGAAGGAGAGCAAACAAGCAGACTCAAAACTCTAATGGAGCTCCACCAAGAGAAACAGAAAGAGGAGAAGAAGAAGAAAAAGAAGAAACACAGGAAAAGTAATTCTGACAGTGAGGGTGAAGAAAAGAAGAAACATGAAAGACTGAAAAAGGCATTAAATGCTGAGGAGGCCCAACTCCTACACATCAAAGAGATAATGCAGCTAGACGAGAGGAAGAGGCCTTACCATAGCACGCATGAAGCCAGAGAGTCTACCGAAGAGGAAATGGAGGCATACAGGGTTAAATGCCAGAGACTAGATGATCCCGTGATGTCTTTCCTTGGAAAGCAATGACATGACTTGGAAGGAGATTCAGGACACCCAACTTGTATAGATACTTTTTAGTTTCTTGGTAAACAAAGATGGGAAAATCTTCATTCGTTTTTCTTACCATCTTTTAAGTAAATTTCTGGAACTCTTTCATCCAAAAATTAAAAAAAAAACAAACCAACAAACACCTGCAACAACCACATTCCTATCATGAAGCCCTTCTATGAGTAGATTTTTTGTTACTACGCAAACTTGCTTCATTGTTGCTGTTATATTTCACAGCCTTGTTATTTGTCTAGCCCTGGGGTGAGGAACCTTCTGCCTGGAGGTCACCTGCAGCCTTCTAGATCCTTGGGTGTGGCTTTTTGACTGAGACCAAGTTTTACAGAACAAATCCTTTTCTTTCTTTTTTAAAATTTATTTTGATCGATCAACACTCACGTCCATAGGCTTTTGAGTTTTAAATTTTTCTCCCTCTCCCTCCCTCCTTCCCTCCCCAAGACAGCTCAAAATCTGATATAGGCTACACATTTACATTCCTATTAAACATATTTTCACATTAGTGATGTCATAAGGAAGAATTAGAACCAATAGGCGGAACCATCAGAAAGAGGAAACAAAACAAAACAGAAGAAAAAAATAGCAAATAGTATGCTTCAATCTGCATTCAAACTCCATAGTTTTTTCTTTGGATGTGGATGACATTTTCCATCATGAGACCTTTGGAGATGTCTTAGGTCCTTGCATTGCTGAGAAGGGCTAAATCTATCAAAGTTAGTCATCACACAATATGGCTGTTACTGTGTACAACATTCTCCTGGTTCTGCTCACTTCATTCAGCATCAGTCCATACATGTCTTTCCAGGTTTTTCTGAAGTCCATTTGCACATCATTTCTTAAAGCACAATAATATTCCGTTACATTCATATACCACAACTTGTTCAACCATTCCCCAATTGATAGGTATACCCTCAATTTCTAATTCTTTGCCTCCACAAAAAGAGCTGCTATAAATATTTTTGTAAGTGTGGGTCCTTTTCCCATTTGTATGATCTTTTTGGTATACAGCCTTAGAAGTGTTATTGCTGGGTCAAAGGATATGCACATTTTTATAGCCCTTTGGGCATAGTTCCAAATTGCTCTCCAAAATGGTTGGATCATTTCACAACTCCACCAGCAATGCATTAGTGTTCCAATTTTCCCACATCTTCTCCAACATTTATCATTTTCCTGTTTTGTCATGTTGGCCAATCTGATAGGTGTGATGTGGTACCTCAGAGTTGTTTTGAACAAATCCTTTTCTTCAGGGGATTTGTTCTGTGAAGTTTGGATTCAGTCAAAGGGCAATACTTGAGGACCTAGAGAGCTACAGCCAGTGTGCATCTTCCTGGGCCCTGCAGGGAACAAAAGAACCAGAAAATCTTGGTACGTGAGCCACCTGTGAGCATGCATGCACACCTCCTTTTGTGGAGGAGTGAAGCCACACTCTGTTGTCAGGAGCAAGGCCTGGTAAGAGACAGTTGTACTCAAACCCTCACCCACTGCCTTTTCAGTGTACATGAGCCCCTACCTCAGCTGCAGCTGCCTCACCCCCAGCAACCACCAGCCCTGCTGCCCTCAGTCCAGCCGCCCACCAGCCCCCACCTCCCAGGTACAGAAGCTCACCTCTTGTCTGCATCAGTCACCCCAGTCACATCAAAGCTGGATAAAGTCATCGCTAAAGGGAGAAGAGCAACCATGTGAACTGGCAACTTTTTTTTAACCAGAAAGAACAAATGCAGCCCATCAATCTATCCAAGGTTCAGTAGTATCACACCTTCAACTTTATTATAAGGAGGAACATTATTGAAGTGTAAAAAGGATAATTTTGATTATTTCAAATTAAAATTTCTAGTGCAAATAAAACCTATGTAGTTAAGAATAAATGGAATGCAGAAAATTGGGGGAAAACTTTCATAGACAATCTCTCAGGATGTTGGAATATTGTGGTGGTGTAGGAAATGATGAGCTGTTTGATTTAAAAAACTTGGAAAGACTTGGACCTATGAAAGGAGTTATTATTCACCTTCAGAGAAACAGATGATAAGTGGAAATAAACATACCAAGGTCTTAGGTATATGTGTGTATGAGTGTCTAAGTGTAAATATGTGTATGTTTATAGATATCTGTGTACGTGTATATATTGATGCATTATTACAGCCTTCTTTTAGGGTAGGAGGGGGGAGGGGAAAATAAAATAAATAGTGCACAGCCAAGAACAAAAGAAAACCAACAAGGAAGCAAAGAAAAGCTAGGCAGCTTTGAAAACAATGTGAATATTTATTATAAAGGATTTCTTGAAATGGAAATGTATTGTTTTATATGGAATCCTCTCTTAATGGTCTGCTGTGTACATGGCAATATTTTTTCCCTCCTATTTTGTATTTAAGTTTAAAATAAAAAAAAATTTGACCAAACACCCCTCCCCCCCTCCCCCCTTCCCCCCTCTCTCCCCCTTTGCTTCAGCAGTACATATACTAAAATTGGAATGATACAGAGAAGATTAGCATGGACCCTGAGCAAGGATGACAGGCAAATTCGAGAAGCATTTCAAAACAAAACAAAACAAAACAAAACAAAACAAAACAAAACAAAACAAAACCCTAGTCACTTAAGTATTGTGTATTCTATTGAATTGAGAACAAAAACTAAGGTTGCTCACATTTTCTTGAGGTGGAGTTGGGGGAAAATGCAAAGAGAAGGAAAGAGGAATTTCAGGAGGGAGAATGCCCTGCCATCTTAGGGCCATCAGCTCAGGGTCTGGTGGCATTGAAGTTGAAGGAAGCCTTGTGTTTTCCCCCACACCAGCCCTCTTCGTTCAGCTGCCAGCTTTGTAAAACAAGGCTTTAGAACTCCAGGAAATGAGACTGGACTTGTGAATTCACTGATCTAGGGAAGTCCCAGATGAAGAAATTCTTTCTAACTAAAAAGTCAAGTTAGCACCTTCTCTGCACTTTATAGTTTCAGCCTCTTATAACCTTCCTGTTACCAGGGGCTTATTTAGTTTTTTTTTTGTTGTTGTTTTTTGGCCAAGGTCTACTTTTCTTCTGGCAACTTGTTGTTTTAGTTGTTGGGGGTTGGGGGTGGGGAGATTCCCATTGAAATCTCAGTTCACACCTACTTTTCCTGAGTAATTAGATACGAGGCCACACCCTTCTCTGACTAGTCCTTTGTAGGAGGTACTTCTTCGATATAAATGGAGGGAATGCAAACTGGAGAACAGCAGCAAATCCTACGTTGGAATCTTCAACAGAGAGTTGCTGCAAGAGAGAAAAACAGATCGTCCGTCGGTTAGATCAGATATCTGCAGCCAACCTTGATGCCCATGGTCCCCTTACCGATGACAATGATGAAGCCAGGGGCTTCTGCCACCAGTCAGGGCAATTCGGTGGTCAGCAGTACCATGGCAACTGCTTTGTCCTTCAGAAACGGCAAAATCGGTACCACCACCATGGTGCAAACTTTGAATGCGAGTAATGGGATGAACTCACCGCATATAGAAAATGGTGTTGCTTTTGCTGGGACTCTGCCCCCGCCGCCGCAGCTGCTGCCTCCGCAGTCACCCTAATCAACTACGGACCAGGCTCCGTGGTGTTGCCCCTGGGGAAGGAAAATGCTCTCAATGTTGTTTTGCCTTCAGCTTCTTCTAACGCTGTCATCCAGACTTCTTCCCTCAGCACTGCTGTGTCCTCTTCTTCCTCATCCACCGTTATCTCCTCCCCCAGCACTGGAAAAGTGGGACCCACCGTGGCACTAGTCAGGCCACCAATTCACACAGCAGGACCTGCTGCAGCTTCTGTTGCTGCAACTACCCGGAATGAGAGCAATACTGTGATCAATTTAACTACCAATGTGCGGAGTTTGCCTGCCACTGCTGCTGCTTCTGCAGCCATTGTGGGTTCTGGAGTTTCTCATCAGGCATCCCTTGTGAACAGTCAACTTGGCTCTAGCATGCCAACCACAGCCACCACACAGGCCATCAAATCAGAGTCCCCTAAAACGATTGTGCAGGAAGTGTCTCAACGGCAAACACTGACAATCAGTGGCCAGTCTACCACAGGAGGTAACATGATCATTGAGCAAACTAGGCAAGATGTTATTCCCAATCCTAGTGGGATACCACCTCCTCCTCCAGCTCCTGGGACCCCTACAGGGATAGCTAAAGGCACTGTCAATACAATGGCACAAAGTCTGCCAAAGACTTCAACAGCTGTTATAGGTGTTATTCAAGCACCCTGTCTGTCTCCACCACTTCAGAATCCTATAAATATTAAAAATGTTCAGGTACCTCCAGGTATGGTCCTTATTCGATGTGAGAATGGACAGTTGTTAATGCTTACTCAACAGGCCTTGGCACAGATGAAGGGCCAGACCCAGGCTCAGTCAGAGCCTCGGAATATCATGGCACTATGCCCTGCAACTACCACCCGCGCACCTCCTGTTCATAAATCAACTGTGCAAGCTCCTGGAACACCAATAATTGCACAGCAAGTGACACCAACTACCACACTTAAGCAAGTGTCTCAGGCACAGAAAACTGTACAACCAACTAAAACAACACAAGGCTCTCTTGTAGTACAGCCTCAGATTGTTGTGGGTGCACAGACAGCTGCATTAGGAACAGCCTCCACTGCACAGCCTGAAGCTCATCAGGGTGCTGCACAAGTAGCCACAACAGCTTCTGCTGCTGTCACAGAAACAATGGAAAATGGGAAGAAATGTAAGAATTTTCTATCCACATTAATAAAACTGGCCTCCTCTGGCAAACAGTCTACAGAGACAGCAGCAAAGATCAAAGAATTAGTACAGAACTTGCTGGATGGGAAAACTGGAGCAGAAGATTTTACCAGCAGGTTATATGGAGAACTGAATTCTTCACCTCAACCTTACCTCCTGCCATTCCTGAAGAAGAGTTTACCTGCTTTGAGACAGTTAACACCAGATTCGGCAGGTTTTATCCAGCAAAGTCAGCAACAGCAGCCCAGGACACAGGCAACAACTGCCTTGGCTGCAGTGGTGCTGAGTAGCTCCGTTCAGCCCACAGCAGGGGAGACAGCTGTCACAGTCACAAACGCTCTTCAGACGCCGGTCATCAGCCTGACACAACCCGCACCAGTTAGCAAACAAGGACAACCTGCATCTCTGGTTATTCGACAACCTCGGAAACCAGGGGCGTTGGCAAAACCTCCACAAGTAACATTGACACAAACTCCCGCAGACAGTGTTGCAAAAGCCACACAATCATCTCATACTCAATACTCCTCAGCAAATTCAACTAAATCAGCTTAAAACAATTCCCATGGTCAAACCGCCTGTATTATTTGGCACCAACATTCCTTCTACGGTTTTGGCGCAAGCGTCTGATGCACAAAAGAATAAACCTAAAGAACCTGGAGCAGATTCTTTCAGGAATCAAGACGATATTAATGATGTTACCTCCATGGCTGGAGTAAACTTATCAGAGGAGAGTGCAAGGATATTGGCAACAAATTCTGAATTAGTGGGCACATTAACAAGGTCTTGTCAAGATGAAACCTTTCTCCTTTCAGCACCTTTGCAAAGAAGGATACTAGAAATAGTTAAAAAGCATGGAATAACAGAACTGCATCCTGATGTAGTAAGTTACGTGTCACGTGCAACACAGCAAAGGCTACAAAGCCTCATAGAAAAAGTATCAGTAAGTGCCCAACGAAGGTATCTTTCTTATTATTATAAGGGTGATGAAAGATACAAACAGGCAAGTGATGTCTGGGCACAGCTCAAATTCTTTGATCAGCTTGATCAAATTGAAAAACGGAGAAAAGATGAACAAGACAGAGAAATTTTAATGTGAGCAGCAAAATCTCGATCTAGGCAAGAAGATCCAGAACAACTTAGGTTGAAACAGAAGGCAAAGGAGATGCAGCAAGAGCTAGCACAGCAGAGGCAAAGGGATACGAACTTAACTGCATTAGAGGCAATTGGTCCTAGGAGAAAAAGGAAAGTGGATGGATTCTCTGGGACCGGGATCAGGGACAGAAGGGTCTGGAAAAAGTACAGCGGTTTTGAGAAGTTCTGGAGTTGGACCAACTAGACAGTTTACACAGAGGATAACTTGGGTCAGCCTCAGGGATCTGATATTTTGTTTAGAAAATGAGCGAGAGACAAGACATTCACTATCGCTATACAAAGCATTCCTTAAGTAAAATGGAAAAGATCAAGGTATTTTTGATGGGGAGGCCTAGGGATATTTTTATATATTTGCAGATTATGCCTTTTTTTGTAACAAGTAAATGAGATATTGTTTTAAAAAAAAACAGCCGCCTCTTTACATGGAACAGATTCATATTCCTGTTTATATATAAATCAACTCTTCAGTATGAAAGAAAGCCCGTTTCTCTAACACTGAGACTATTTACAAGGGCCTGTGGATATTATTGGAGACAATTCAATCTTAACAGATAAAGACGATGAAGATGAAGATTTTGAGGAAGAAAGTGATGATGATATTACAGCTTTACTGGCAGAACTAGGGAAAAATTAAAAAAAAAAAAAAAGAGCTGAAGAACAAGCCCAGAAGGAACAATAACAAAAGACTGAAGAAAAATTTGGAGGGAAAAAATCCTCAAGGAAAACCCTTTCCTTAATCTCACTGGTCCTTCTCACCTCAGACCAACTTCAAAGTAAAGAGAAGATGCGATGATGTGGTCTTTAAGAACTGTGCTGAAGGAGAAGATGAGCTGAAAAAGGATAAAAGATTTGTAAATGATATCCTTTTATCAGAATTTCACAAGATGTTCATGGAGAAATATATCAAATAGTACAGTTTTATGTGCTCAGTTATTAAAACGGGGCTCATTCAAACTTTAAGGGTCAATCTGGCTTTACTTTGGTCAGGATTTTCTTTCTATGTTTTTATTGGCTTATAGATTTCCTGCATTTAAAATTCTAAAATACCTTTGTTTTGTCAATAATACTTTATTTGATAATGGCATCCTAGATCTAGGAATTTGTTTAACTCCTCATCCTGCATTCTTGATTTATCATTTAATAAACCAGTTTGTGTTCTGTGAACATTTCCAATTCTTCTGTTTTTTTTCCTTGTAAAAATGTTGTATGGGAAAATATGATTTTCAATAACAATTTTAATTGTTTAAAAGAAATCCTTAATCTAGTAAGAGAAGGGAATGCTCTTGTCACTCTCCAAAATTTTTCTTCCTTTTTCTCCTAGAATAAGTTTCTGCCTCATTGAGAAGGAAACTGAACAGTATTTAGCCAAGAACAGCTTTGTGTTCTTATCGACTATTTTGAAAAGAGCCCATATCCTGTCATAGGAAAAAGGGAAGAACTAGCAACAAGGATCAATATTGATGAGTCTGTCGGTTGTTGTTCTTTATTCTTGAAGAGGACCAAAATGACATCATTTGTGTTAGAGTAAAGTTACAATGCATCCAGCTATGGCTGATCAGACCAGTACAAACTCAGGTCAGGCACAAATAGTTCATGTGAAGATTTGGGGTGGATTCTCTAAATTTGTGCATCTTGAATTTCTTTTGAGCTACTTCAATTCTGATTTGCTCA